GGGTCATATTACAGAATAAAAGTGTTTGTGTGTGTTTAATGCAATCTTTTGCATTTTCTAGGGAACTTCGAAGGAACACTGCTGGAGAGATCAAGGGGAACCAAAGGCAGGAGAAGCCAACTGGAAATTATAACAGGTCAGCTGTGAAGTAAATTTAAGAGGAAAGGAGGGATTGTTTAAAAGAGGGGGTAAAAAGTAAGACTGGTATTTTAGGAGAACACAGAATGAATTCCGGGCATATTAAATATGCTGTGCAAGACACAAGTAGTACAGGGGATGTCACTGAGAAACTGGGAGGAGTGTGTGAAATCCTCATTGAGAGCTATAGAGGGGAAGAAACTACTGGATGGAGTTGCAGAAGTAGCTCCATTGGGAAAAGAAGGATACAAATTGACAACACGCTGACAATTTCCAGAAAATTTGAATTAGGAAGGAAGTTCATTAAGTTTAGGTGGAAAAAAGTGAGGAGGTGGGAGCTCTTTTCTCTCCCTAATAGGGCAGGGATTGGTACCATATTTGTGACAACTGGCTATAAATGTTTCTTTCTTTCCTGGAAATTCTCTGCAGACAGCAGAGAAAAGCTTGCAGAAAGGGTCTGATCTAGGGACCACCCCTCTGAATAGCATGGCCATTGTAAATAATTTTTCCCAGCTGTTTCAAACAAAACTCTGATTGTAATCTCTTTCAGTTCCACTGGTTTATTTGCACGTAAAGCTCAATACAGTTGGTCACCTTAACTGATCTCCTTGCTGGAAGAAACCAACCCAAAACATTTTGAACATATAGAACAAAGTTAGGATGTAGCCTTGTAGATGTTGAGAGGCTGCTACCCTCTCCAACCATAGCCAGCACTTCTAAGAGTGGGAATGATGGGAGATGCAATCCAACAACATCTGAAAGCTCACTTCTACTGGTATCATAGGTGCCTGCCTGTCACTTTCTTCCCCTTCCCTAAAAGCTGTGTAATTTAATTTGCTAGTGCTTCATTTACTAGTGCTTCAAAATCTGATGACCCATACATCTGCATAAACACATAAGATCTTAATATTCTTTTAACTTTTAAAAATATTATCTTTGAAGAGGTAGCAATACTACTGTGGCCAATAATGTTTAAATTTGAACATTGGCAACTGACAGCTTCCACATGAGTGGAATGGTGAATTCACTCTGGGATTTAGTCCAAATTGTAAAGGAATGTTACAGTGTGCTGAACCAAAATGGGCTCAGAACTTTGGACAGTTCCTATAAAGTTTAATTAAAACGAAAGTAGATTCACTGGCCAACTTTCATGGAGTCACTGGGTGCCAGTGATTTCATATTTATATCTGAGTACCCATTCAAACACAAAGCAGTTATTGCAAAGACAGACAGATTGGTGGTTACTTTTTAGTTTTACAATTTATTTGAAAGACTAACCACTGAAACTGAAGAAGAGGGTGGTCAGAATCCAAAAGGTCTTAGAAGAGCAACAGAATGGAGCCAAGAAAGTTACCCTAATAAGCTGTTTGTAAGAACTGTGCTTAGTGAATACTAATAAAGCTGTTTAATGAATACTCATTAACTATATCTTGTACACAACATGCCATTAGCAACTGTGATCTCATTAACTCTCTTGAGCTAAGCTAAACAAGGTTGATGCTGATCAGTAATTGGATGACAGATACCCATACAGTAACCCAAGCTGATGAAGTGTTTGTTTCTGAGGATTCTTAATTCTGCCTTATACAAAGGAATGATGAATACCTCATCTCACAGCAAGGATGATGAATCATGTAGCTGCTGAAAACTATTTTTGAAACCAACATCAACTTAACCAATAATGAATGAATGGTTACTGTGGTCACAATCACAAGTTTAAACAATGAGAAGTCATCATTGGCTTGTAACGATTGTATGTAACAAGAAATACTACTATGGTAATATAGTAGTAGTTAAGTATATCTACTATTTATTTAATTATATCTAATGGACTATGACTCTGGAGATCAGGGTTCAAATTTCCCCTTGGCCATGAAAAACCAATGGGTGACCTTTCACAAGTGACAGTCTCTCAGCCTCAGCAGATGGCAATGGCAAATCCCCTCTGGAAAAAACT